GGATTTATATGAATGGATTCAGAGGAAAGTGGACAAAACCAGGAGAACAATTTGGACAATAACATTGTAAATACAAACAATTTTGAAAGACTCAAATATTTTGATCAATGTAGTGCCAAACCACAGTTCCAGAGGACAAATGTCAAAGCATCCTACCCACCTTTGGACAGGGAGGTGACAGATTTAAGATACAGAAAGACATATATTTTTAGATATGATCAATGTGGAAATTTTTTAAAAATTACACAATTTTGTCCCAAAAGTTTTGTTTTTCTTCTTCTGCAATTTTTTTGGGGGGAGAAAAAGAGGAGAATGAGGGATAGAGTTCTCATTCAATGCCTTCCCTCCTCCCCCCCAAAAAGAAAGAAGAGAACAAAAAGAAGACTATAGACATGCAGGACAGCTTTGAAAGTTACTAAGTTTTCTCATCTGTAAAATAAGCTGGGGAAGGAAATGGCAAGCCACTCTAGTATCTCTGCTAACAAAACTCCAAATGGGGTCACAAAGAGTAGGACAGAGCTGAAAATGACTGAACAACAGCAAAGGAAAAGAAAAACAAGCTCTACAGAATAGAGATTTACAGTTACATGTAGAGTCCTCGCCTCCTACTCTACACTGTTTATGGAAATGCTCATTGTATTTGGTATTTTTTAAGTTCAGAATAAACTAAAAAGAAAAAAAGAAAGAAGCCCATCAGAGAAAATTACTTGTGGAGAAACACAGATAGCTCTGAGAAGACCTGACAGAAAACAATCCTCAGGGAAAAGTACTTACTGAAGACAAAGATGGTCCAAGTGTCTTGTTTCCCAGAAGTCAGTTTATATGTAACTATTATGAAGATTTTGAATTTTATAGTTGGAAAATCCTAATGACTAAAACTTTTTGGTAACTATGAGACAACCACATATTACATATTTGTGGTGGGCCAATGGAGATGTGGAGATCTTACCATAAGGCAGAGATGAGGAACTTCATACAAGGAGAATGTGCTATGAGGCAGGAGGGACAAAAGTAGAGAAGACTGAAGGAGCTGAGTGAAGACAGAAACAGAGGGAGAAGGCAGGACTGTCCCCTGGAAGGTTGAAGACAAAGCAGCTCAGTTAAATTTAGCTGAGAAGTGGGCTCAGAATTAAGACTGCACGACCATAACATAGCAGTCCACCTATAAATTCAAGTAACATCTCCACTAATGCATATAGTTTCCATAGGAAAAATGGACAGACACAAACTTAACAGAATTCCAGCCAGTGGCCCATTAGTGAGGAAATGTGACAGGAACAACTGAGAACTAATAGAATTGGATGATGATGATGATGATGATGATGATGATGATGATGAGTCCAGCACAGCCAAACACAGCACAGCAGATGGTTCCTAAAAAAGCACTCGCACTAAGAGCAGACAGAAGAGCTTGGAGACTGCATTGCCCTTCTTCTGGGCTGACTGGATGAAGACTTAAAATCTATCCCTAGGAGCTGAACTGATGGGAGGAAAATGATTACTGCTAGCAGCTTACTGGAGAAAGAAGAATCCTTTGCTGCTTAACCAGGGGTGTGCTGGTAAACGCACAACAACCACTTCTCTAAAGAATATTATGCAAGATATACTTTTAAGTCTAATTTGCATTACTAATATTTTCCTCAATCATTTTATTAATTTGACAATAAACAAGATAATAAATCAAGTCCCTATTTGTAGGGCTTGCCAATTTTTCCAAGGTATAAAAGCTCATCCTGAAAATTTAACAATAGGCTTTCACAAGCCAGTACCTGGTACCAGCACACTCTTGTGTTTCCAACTGGTGAGGAAAGATGAAGCTACCTTGCCCTTTACTAACACCTGTGGCTTAAGAAAGAGGAAATCCCACAGAGCCCTGCCGAAAAAGCAGACCTGAATAGTTCTACAAATCCCAGGCTTATAGGAAATGATTTGGATAAAAGAGCGTAATACTGCCTTAGAGACCAGTCTTGGATCAGTTCCAGCAGAGCAACCAGAAGCAGTCCTGTTTACCTAGTGCCTCATGGTGCAGACTGTTCCCTAAGGAGCCAAAAGCATCAATTCCTGTAGTTCTCAATTGTTCCTGCTACGTTTCTTTACTAATGGGCCTCTTTGCTAGAATTCTGTTAAGTTTGTGTCTGTCCACTTTTCCCATGGAAACTATATGCATTAGTGGGGATGTTACTCGAATTTAGAGGTGGACTGCTATGTTACAGTTAATACTGCTTTGTATTCTGCATTCTAATTGTTTCATGATTCGGAGTTAATGGTATCATCTTGACTGATTTGCTTAAATGGAGAGTATACTGGTGGGGACTCAGGAGCAAAGCTCGCGAATATCTTCCACACAGGAGGATTACCCCTAAGGTTCTGAGATAGTGAATTGTGGCAGTGTGGCTACCCTTACTCTTGAACCCCAACTTGCTGGTGCAAATGTGTGTTGGGTGAGTCTGACAGTCCACACTGAGAAAAAGCCAATATCTGAGCTACCCACTCCCAGTTCCAAATTCCACATGACAGCCTGGCTACAGAGAGAGAAAGCAGCTGGAATTATCTACAGTTGCAGGCAGATCCCCACCAAGGGCATCTACTGGCCAATTCTATGTGCCTCTTAGATTCTTTCCCTCAGTATGATCCAATCAGACTTTACCCCCTAGCAGGTGGAAGTTTATGGATTTTCCAGGACTAAGGATCTAGGAAAGAGAGAATAGAGACAGAATTGGAGAGAAGGGATCAGCAATACCAGGACTTCTCTTATGCTATTTAGAATAAAGGAAGGGACTCCAGGAAGGAAGCCCAAGGAAACGGTTTTGTGTAAGCATAAACAGATTATTAAGAACCTCAAAACAGCTAAAAATTCACCAAACTAAAAAGAAAACAACACCACATCAAAGGGGAAAGGAAACAAATCCAACAAGGAAACATCCACAGAAAAGAAACTGTTAGATTAATTATGACATGGTCTGATTCAAGGCTGATGGATTTTCTTAAGGTTCTCTTCATTGGCAGAGAGAATGATTACCTGATGCTTCATACCTTTGTGAGGGGGAGAGTTGGTGAGAGTCTGGGACAGGAGAGGTCCTTTGTCCTCAGCACCTGGCTTCAAGAGAGGACACATACCATTCCAGGCTCTGTTCAGGTAGAGGCCCCTGGAGGGAAAAAAAGACTCTGGGAAAAAGTCAACATGTAGAAGAGCCAGTAGCTCAACATGTCCCTGATTTCCAGCATGCTACACCAGGGACTTTGGTGTATTTCATTCTGGGTGACATTGGAAACTTTCTTGGTTGAGTTGAGGTATCTTTTTTCCAGTGGAAGAGCTTACTCACTCTGGGTATTGTCTAATATATTCTAATCTGTACAACTCCGATTTTTGTTTCCTGTTGCCTTGGATAAATGGGTTTTATTCACAATTTGTGATGTTTTTTTCATAATTATCTTTTAGTATGAAAAGAGTTAAGCCTTCAGATATTGCTTGGGGGCCACCTTCCCTGTTAAATGAGAGTAACTAGGCTTGAACCTAACAATTATCTCCTCTAGCCTAGCAAAACTTGAGGGAGGTGATCAGATAGACACAATTCTAGTCTGGTATCCCCTTTCTGAGGAGAGCAAAACAAGAGAACTTAGTGGCTCCAATCTCCTGCTCCCTTCCAGGTAGGAATCATAGTCTCCTTTGGAGAAGGTTGGAAGATATTCCAGAGAGATCTACTTGTCCCTCCTGATAAGCCACATTTAGACAACCCACCTAACCTTCATGACAACACACACACACATGCATCCTACTGGGAGTAAATAAGAAAAGGAAGTAAAAGTAATACAATGAAAAAATGTTATAGAGTAATAATCTCAAAACTTATTTCTTTTAATTTGAGAGGGTGTTGTAAGGGACATACTTTTGCTTCCCCAGAGACTGTTTGGTTTTTGTTCCTACAGTGCACATTACTAAGCACATAGTATATATTTAATAAATGCCCACTGAGTGAATTATTGAGTCTCATTAGGTAATTAAGAAAAAGAAGGGACCTTGGAGGTCATATTGGTCCAATCCTCATACTTACTGCTAAGGCAACTGACTTCTCAGAGAGGTGGTGCCTGGCCTAATGTCATCAGCTACTGGGTGGCTCTAGCACCCATGTTCTCTGACTCCAAATCCCATGTTCTATTACCATGTTGCGTGCCTCTGCCCCTGGTGTCACTAGGGTCTACGGTGGTGCATGCAAAGCACATGCTGTTGAATGGAACCTGGATTATGTGGCAGACAGTGCAAACGAAAAAAGTATGGATTTCGAAAAACAATAGGAAAGGTAACACATGGATTCCTTTTAAAGAGTCCCTTTTCTCCCTCGCCACCCTTTGAATTCTGGTGGGCTCCTACGAATACTATGTGCAAAGTGCTCGGGAAGGTTCCGGAATTCTTTGCCCGTGCAGCATTTCAGTTACGTTTAAGAAAAGATGGGTCACAAAGGGCAAAAGTTCAATTCCAAACCGGAAGGTGGGGAGAAGGGTGTCGCTCTAGAACTTAGATGCTAAACACGATTCCTCGTGCGCAAGTGCAGTGATGAGAGGCCCGGAGATGGGTGGAGGGGGAGAGGCGGGACTAAAGCAGGTTAGGGACTAAAGCCCAGCCAAAGCCGGCCTCTGTTTGCGCGTGAGTGGTAGAGGGCGGTGGTGGTTGGCCGAGAAGTCTTGAGATCATTTCCTGCTCCCTGATCTCGTAAGTATCCGGGTCATTGTCCTTTCTTGTAAACGCTGAGTGCCCACCCCGCCCCCTCGGCCAGCCTCCCGTGCCTTCCCCGGGCGTCGCTCCGGCTAGCGCGCGCCAGCCCCGCCCCCCAACCCGTCCCCGTCCCCTCGTCCCCTCCCCCTTCCCCCTCCCGCAGCTTGAGGGGGGCCTCGCGTGCGCCCTTGCTGCCGCTGCCGCCGCTGCCGGGAGGTGGGTGAGGGGCCTTCCTGCCCCAGAGGAGGGGGCATGGCCTGCTGGGGAACCGCGAGGGAACCCAGGGTCTCCGGGGCCGAGGAGCCCCATCCCGAGAAGCTGTGACCTCCTACCCCGCCCCCATTCATCCGCCGGACTGGGCGGCAGCCCGGGGTCCGGCCCTGGTTCGTGCCCGGGGTGGTGTGCAGGGGGTCCAGGACTATGGGGGGCCGTCAGTGCCCAGGGCCATGGGAACTCCGGTTGGGGGCGGGGTGGGGAGGATCGCCTGCTTTTTTTTTTCTCATTGTGTCTTTTGGGACATCCTGTGTAATGTAGCCTTTTTTGCCACCTGCCTTTTGAAGGATGAATGGCTTGCCTCCTGCTGGATGGCCTCGGCGACCTACGTATTGTCTTCCTTTTCTGGGGGGAGGGGGCAGAAGCATTGCTTTCCGAGTAGCTGCGGAGTGCTAGCTGGATTGTAAAGTGTGGAGGAAACATTGGAGGTCTGTTAGGCCCTTAACTTTTTTTTTTTTTTTTACTCAGATTTATGATTTTATTTCTGTAAGGAACTCCACATGAGAAAACTTTGTACCAGTGCAGGGCTGCACCTTGCTCTTCAACTCAAGGGCACCATGAGGTTCAAATGATTTACCTAGGTTCATAGAGCCACTTTTGTCAGTTAGGAGTTGAAGTATTAGGTTTTTCTATTTTTTGTTTTTGTTTTTTTACTTCTGGGTCAGCCTTCTATCTTTTGTGCCATGTTGTTGCTCATCTTTTTTTAATTTAGCTTTTTAAAAATTATATAATGTAGGAGTGTTTCTTCAATATCTTGTTGAAAAGCAAGGATTTTCTTTAGGGCATAGGATTTGATGATATATTTGAATTTGATGATGAATTTGAATAAGTAGGAAGAAATGGAATGTGTGCCATTTCATTTTTTCCCAAGGAATTTTGTTTTGTTTTGTTTTGCCAAGAAGTCGACTAGTATTTTATGATCACACCTGCTTTTTGTGTAGAGGAAAGGACATTAGATTTAGAAATAAAAAGACTTGGAGTGGAGTCCCGAGTTCGACCAATTATAATTGGCATAAATGATAAATAACAGATCTTGGAATAATTTTAGTAGAAGTACCATTTCCCACACAATATTTAGTATTTTGGCATGCAAAAACTTTTTAAAAGATAGACATAGAGGTGTAAGATGATCTAAACCTAATTCCTGCCAGACTGCTTTATATTTTTTTTTCCAGAAATGGAGAGTCCATGTCTTAGGAGTTGTGTCCTTCAGTTTATTAAATATATAGTACTGTTTTAGATGACTTCTGGGTCTTGGTTATATAATCAGTTCCATTGGTCACCTTTTCTATTTGTTAACCAGTAACAAATAATTTCGGTTATTACTTTATATTGTATTGCTTTATATTACAGTTTAAGGATCCCCTTTTTCCTTTGTGTGACCTTGGGCAAGTAACTTAGCACCTCCACCTGAATTTCTTCATCAGTAAAATGAATTGGTTAGAGTACATGATGTCTAAAATTGCTTCTTTGTTATTTGGTTGCATCCTATTCTTCATGACCCCTGGAACCATACCATACCCATGCTGTCCACTGTTTTCTTGGCAAAGATACTAGTGTGGTTTGCTATTTCCTTCTCTGGTAGATTAAGGCAACAGAGGTTAAATGACTCGCCCAGGGTCACACAGCTAATAAGTTATCTGAGACTGGATTTGAATATAGCTCTTCCTCACTCTAGGCCCAGCACTCTATCCACTGAGCCATCTAGCTGCCCCTAAGATTGCTTCTAGTACCAATATTTTGTGAGGCGTTGGGATGAATTTGAATTTTCCATTTTCATGTCTCCTTCCATTTCAGAACTGACGTAGTCCTACTCTCCATAACTTAGTGAAAAAGAAATAAAATTATGTGAAATAAATCAACTTTAGCAAGATAAACATTCTCTTTTGTTTTGCATGATTGAAAGGGCAACACAGATGACGAGTATTTGTGAGGTTGTAAGATTTCATCCTTGGTGCCATTTTATAGACATAGTATTTTAATAAGGGAATAACTTCACCCTACTCAAAACAAAATTATAATTTTTTCTACTCATCCTGATAGTTGTTTTTGTGATGTCATATGTTTATGATTCAATGTCAAGATCTGTTTTTAAATAATTTTATGATTCCTTAGCCTTCTAATACAGTTCTCTCACAACAGGAAAGATGAATGGAAGGACCGATTTTGGGACAGAACAGAATGCAGAAGTCTCACCACCACTGCCTAGTAAGTATTTATTGAACATTTGTAAATGCTGAAACTTTCTGTAGTTAACTTTTTCTTTGTCATGAGTGATACTAAGGTTAAGACATATTTGAAATAGAAGTTTGTCAGAAGTTGAAAAAATACTTTCTATATATTTTAGTTGTGTCGTTGATGAATATTGTTAATATTTAGAGCTTTTTTCTTGTAGGTTTTTTGATTTTTTTTTTAACTTTGATAAATAGACATAGGAATGGATTATATCCCAACAGAAGAGGAAAGAAGAGTCTTTGCTGAATGTAATCGAGAGAGCTTCTGGTACAGATGTAAGTCAAGTTATTTATTACATTTTAAGTAATTATTGTAGTGTCTGAAAAGATCAGTGTTATCAAAGTAAAGTTTCTTACAGTTTTGTGCAGTTCTTACTGAAGAACTAGTGAAGAGGTAAATTTTTATAGTTTAATTAACATAATTATTTCCTTATGGTATTTCAGGACTTAGTAATTTTGGCTAATGTTGTATTGATAAATATAATAAAATTTATTAACTGACTTTCTTATACCTTTCTAATAATAAATCTTGTTATAATTTTAGAAGTCATTTTTTCATCTAATATTTAATATTTAAAATGGTAGTGATGTTTACATGCAAAACTTTTTTTTTAATTGCTATATAGGTATAAGATGATTTAAACCTAATTTCTGCCAGACTACTTTATGTTTTTGTTTTTTCTGGAAGAGTCTTTATCCAGTTGTATCTTTTAGTTTATCGCATATTATGCTACTAGGCTGGGTGGCTTCTAGGTCTTGCTTATCTAGTTAGTTCCTTGATCATCTTGCCTATTTGTTAGCCAGTACTAAATAATTTTTATCATTACTGCTTTATATTACAGTTTAAGGCCCCACTCATTTTTCTTTTTCCCAATATTTCTGTTGAAATTTTTTATCTTATTATTCCTCCAGACAAATTTCATTGTTTTATCTAGTTCTGCAGGGTAGATAGGTGGCCCATGGGATAGAAAGCTGGACCTTGAGTTAGGAGGAAAGACTTCCAATTCCACCTCAGACAGTATTTGCATCAATTTCTTCATCTGTAAAATGGGGATAATAATATCACCCACCTCACAGGGTTGTGTTGGGGATCAAATGAGATAATATAGGTAAAATGCTTGGCAAACCTTAAAGTACAATATAAATGCTAATTATTACTAGGAAGAGAATAAACATTCTATAGCACCTTCTGTGTTCCAGGCACTATGCTAAGCACTTTTCAAATGTCTCATTTTATTATGACAATAATAATAATAAAATAACCCTTATGCTAATTGACCTGGCAGGCAATAATCTGTAAATGAGTTTGTAGAACTGTCATTTTTATTATATTTTTACAGTTCATCCATAGTGTCTAATTATTTAAATCTTTATTTCTATATAGTATTTTGTATAATTTTATTCTTGTAAGTCCTGTTACACTGTGCTTATTTGTTATAAAGGCAGTGTTTGCAGGGGAGAGTGCCACAAAGCAAGGATCTGGGGGTTGTAAAAATGCTGGAATAATCAGAGAAGAGAGAAGTAAGCAGTTGGCAGGAATCTGTTTCACAAAAGATCCTGTTAATTACAAGATACGATTATGACACTCTGCCCTAAAGATACTATCTTGTGAAGGAGACTAAGCAAAAATACCTGAAAAGTGAGGTAAAAATACAAAATAACAGTATGAGGAATTAGACAAGGCACTGTATCATTAGTTTTTAAGAGTATCATAAAAGTGCTTTGTAATATAATCCTCTTAAGGGCAGTATATAATGTGAACATAAAGCTAGCACACATGAAAAGATAAACAGGATGGTTAAGTGCTAAACTGCATTGTAGTGCATTGGGCCTTTAGAAAAGAGATGCTTATACCAAGATAAAGTCAAAATGGGTACACGATTTAGATATAAAGGCTGATATTGTAAGCAAACTGGGAGAGCAAGGAATAGTATACCTGTCAGATTTATGGAGAACACAGTTTATGACCAAACAAGAGATAGAGAACATTATGAAATACAAAATGGATAATTTTGATTACATTAAATTGAAAAGATATTACACAAAGTCAATGCAACCAAGATTAGGAGGGAAGCAGAAAGTTGGGAAAAATCTTTACAACCAGTGTTTCTGATAAGGGCCTCATTTCTAAAACATATAAGAGAACTAAGTCAAATTTATAAGAATGCAAGTCATTCCTCAATTGACAAATGGTCAAAGGATATGAACAGGCAGTTCTCAGGTGAAGAAATTAAAGCCATCTATATTCATATGAAAAACTGCTCTAAATCACTATTGATTACAGAAATGCAAATCAAAACAGCTCTGAGGTACCACATCACACCTATCAGATTGGCCAACATGACAAAACAGGAAAGTGATAAATGTTGGAGAAGGTATGGGAAAATTGGAACACTAATGCATTGTTGGTGGAGTTGTGAAATGATCTAACCATTTTGGAGAGCAATTTGGAACTATGCCCAAAGGGCTATAAAACTGTGCATACCCTTTGACCCAGCAATAGCACTTCTAGGACTGTATCCCAAAGAGATCATACAAATGGGAAAAGGACCTACATGTACAAAAATATAGCAGCTTTTTTTGTGGTGGCCAAGAATTGGAAATTGAGAGGACGCCCATCAATTGGCGACTGGCTGAACAAGTTGTAGTATATAAATGTAATGGTATACTATTATGCTATAAGAAATGATGGGCAGTCAGACTTCAGAAAAACTTAGAAAGACATGCGTGAACTGATGCTGAGTGAAGTGAGCAGAACCAGAACATTGTACACAGTAACAGCCACATTGTGTGATGACTAACTTTGATAGACTTAGCTTTTCTCAACAATGCAAGGATCTAAGACAGCTCCAAAAAACTCATGATGGAAAATGCTATCCACATCCAAAGAAAGAACTTTGGAGTCTAAATGCAGATGGAAGCATAGTATTTACTCTTTCTTTGTTGTTTTGTTTCTTCTTTCTTGTGGTTTCTCCCATTGGTTCTAATTCTTCTTTACAACATGACTAATGGGAAAATATGTTTAATATGAATGTATATGTAGAATCTGTATCAGATTGCATGCTGTCTTGGGGAGAAGTGAGGGGAGGGAAGAGGAAAAATTTAAAAGTCAAAATCTTATGGAAGTGAATGTTGAAAACTAAAAGTAAATAAATTTTTAAAAAGGAGGGGATGGATTAGTTTGGCCTGAAGTATTTGGAAAAGACCTCATTGAAAAGGTGGCATGTGAGTGGACTCTAGATCTAAAGAATAGAGAAAAGAGAATTTCATGCTAAAGTATTATTAAGAAAGGCACAGAACTGGAATGAAAGACCGTTTACATGTTATGTGCCAAACATAGACTGTGCTAAACATTGAGTATACAAATACCAGCCAACAAAGTAGTTCTTGCCCGCAAGGAGCTTAAATTCTAATAGGGAAAGACAACATGTAGATAAAATTGGAAGTGAAGGGGAGGTAAGAAAAGACAATGAGAATATCACATTCAAAGGAAAATGTTCAGACTGGCCTGACTGAAACAAAGACTATATTGTGTGGGAATGATAGGAATTTTATTGCTCTGGAAATGTTTTGAGTAGCTCTGGCAGACTTTCTGCTTTTGAAAGACTAGCATAGCTAAACATAGAGCCACTTAGTGATTAGTTTTTGAATATAGCAGTTGGTGAAACAAATGATAAGGAAAATAGTTCTCAGTCCTCTGTGTTTGCAAAATCTTAAAGAGACGGATTGTGGTATTATTAATAGTATTTCTTCAAAAGACGTTCAGAAGCTGTAGTGTGAAAAAGCAATTTTTAAATGGCTCAGTAAGAGGCCGAACTAAGCAATGTAATTCTCAGGAAGTTTGAAGATGAAAGTTAGAAGGACAGCCAACAAGGATGGAAAAGATCTGCAAAGATTTTTTTTTTAATAATAAACTTTTCATCCAGTACCTGTTCCTAAACTTTTCATTATCAAAGAGCCAAGATAAACAGGACTATAATAAGAGTGCCTACCTGTCCTTGATGAATTCAAGTCATCTGGCTCAGATGAATTCATGACTACAGTCATCTGGCCCAGAGGAATTCATGAGTACTGAAAGAACTGGCAGATGTGATTGCTGAACCACTGTTAGTGATATTTGAAAAATCAAGAAAAATGAGAGAGATGATATAAGATGGGTGAAAGGCAAATGTCCTGATTTTCAAAAAAGAAAAATTTTAGAATAGGATCTGCAAACTATAAGTCATTGACCTTGACTTTAATACCTGAGAAAACTCTAAAGCAGATCATTAAAGAGAGTTGGTGAATGTGTAGAAAGGAAAGTGAAAATTACTAAAAGCCACCTTGGCTTTATGAAGAACTGGTCATTGCAGACTAACCTCATTTCTTTTTTTTTTTTTTTTTGACAGGATTACTAAATAAGTATGAATGCTATGAATGTAATTTTACCTGCCAAATGTAGCAAGGCTTCTGATAAAGTATGCCATACTATTCTTGTAGAGAGGATGGAGAGTTTCAAAATAAAGAATTAGACAGACTGATTAAGTGACTGGACTCAGAGTAATTGTTAATGTTTTAATGTCAATGTGGCAAGAGTGTTTCAGTGGAATAGTGGCCCTGAGCTATTTAACATTTTGGTCAGTGACTTGGATAAAGGCAGAGATGGCATTAAGCGGCAGCTAGCAGAATTGTGGAAAGAGTGCTAGACCTGAACTCAGAAAGAACCGAGTTCCAATGTGGCCTCACACACTGAGTAGCTGTGTGACTCTGGACAAGTCAATTGACCTCTGTCTGCCTCAGTTTCCTCAAAAGTAAAATGAAGATAATAATAGCATCTATCTCCCAGGGTTGTTGTGAGGATCAACATATATAATGTATAAAGTGCTTAGAATAGTGTATGGCTCATAATAAACATTCTATAAATGCTACCTATTATTGCTATATTATTACCACATTCATTGAATTTGCAGATGACACAAAGTTTGGAAAAGCAGTCAATACATTGCATCACAGAGTCATGATCTAATAGGATCTTCACAGACTAGAGCATTAGACTAGATCTAATAAGATGAAATTCAGTAGGAATAAATGTAAAGTTTTCTACTTGAGTAAAAGAAAAAAGACCTTCCCTATTATAAAATGAGGAAAGCATGATCAGACAGCAGTTGGTCTGAAAAAGATCTTAAGCTTCAGTGGATTACAACTCAGTCAGAGGCAGCCAGAAGAGTTAAGGGGATATTGGGTTGCATTAAGAGAGCTTGAAGGTGTAGAGAGATAGTGGTCTTACTGTACTATGT